AAAGGCGAACTACATGATGGTAAATGCTAGGAAGAACAAACTGCCCACAAGGAGACAGAGACGGGAAGTCTCTGACAAGGAGACCATTGAACAGAAGCCTGAGCGAAATGAGGGAGCCAGCCATGAGGCCGTCTGGGAGAACGGCATCCTAGGGTTGAGGGAAAAGCAAATGTGAAGGTCCTTAGCCAGGAGCACGCCTGGCCTGTTGGCTGGTGAGTGGGACTGCGGAGCCGAGTGGACAAGGAAGGGGCAGCGAGGCGAGGCTGGAGTGGTCATCAAGAACCAGGCCATTCCAGACTGGTCCAAGGACTGGGATTTAACCCTAAGAGAGACAAGCACCTTAGAGAGTGCAGTGACACCGTCTCACATTTTGGACTGCTATACGGACTCTGGCCATCCAACTCAGAGAGTAGGGGGTCCCTGTGGCGTCAGCCACACCAGCCCTTGCTCCTTGTAGAAACAGGGCCCTCCAGCAGGCCCTCCATTCTGCCCTCCAGAATGAGGAAAATGGGACCAGAGGACTCCCCCGACTCTTGTCATCTGCTCAGCCAAAGCCCTGGACGCCCCCCACTCCTCCCTGTGTGAGCCACACAGGGCAGTCCCCAATGACGCTGGGAGCTGCCCCATAGTTATTTTATGCGTTCCCCCAGCATAAGTGTGGACCTGCTTTCTGCCAAGACTTGTATGGGACATAGGGACGTGTGGAAGGGTCACTGCTTTCAAGGAGCTCATGTTCTCAGTGCAGGAAGGTGCAGGCCCATGCTGGGACGGGCTGACCCCTCCTGACCCCACACAGCTGTACCACAGCTGACTCACAGACGAATCCACGCCTGAGCTCTCAAGGAAGCCAAGGAGTGCTAACTCCACACCCCGCCCCCAGCCCCCATGAATGGGGAGGAAGCCCAGGATCGGGGACGGAGTGAGAAGGCCCCAAGGTCACAACTGGAAGTTGGAGAACTAGACTCTTCCTACTCAGAGTCAGCCCCCTGAGATGGAGCAGGGTCTCTGGCCCAGGAGCAGCCTGGGGGCTGGAACCAGGTGTGTCTCACACCATAGCCCCAGGACTCAATAATTCTGTGCCGAGTGAGTGAGGGACCCCAGCTCAAACTGAGAAATGATCAGGCCACCCCCAGCAAGAAGGTCCAAAGACCCTGCCTCCTCGGGCCCGACAGCAGCCAAGGTAAGCTGACCTGCTGCTTGGAATCACACTGAAGATGCCTCTTGGGCCTGCAAATGACATGCTAGGGCCCCATGATACGAGAGAGACCTGGCCCCTTCTGGAAGCCCCAGGAACCAGCTCTTGAGAGGGGAACCTCTCCCAGAGCCCATGAGGGTACCCCTACACCCATACAACAGTAATGAGTTCAAGTAGTTATTCTTCATCTTTTTTTGCTTTAATAATCACACATAATCTTTTGAGTGTAGGAGATGCTCTCATTTCTATTACCCCATTTCATAGAAGAGCAAAGAGGATCAGAAAGGCTAACTCAGATCCCAGATCTCCAGCCCACAAGTGGTGGAGCTGGGTTCAAACTTGTTCTACTCCGGAGTCTACAGTCTCATCCCCTCAAACATCAACTTCCTGGCTGACACAGCCCCTCCAGTGGCTCTTCTGGGCACAGTCAGTCCTGAGAGCCTGGCTCTACTACAAAACATTGGATTTGGGGGGTTTTTGTGTCTTTTTTTTTTGTAAAGTAGAAAATCCTTTTTTCTTTCAAATGACAACAGGAAAGAATATCTAATCATACTGCTTATAAAAGCAGAACTGCCCCCACACCACCATTCCTACAGCCAGGATCCCTTCCCACTTCCCTGAGCACTGACTCAGTGCCTCCCCAATCAGCTCCCCCACCCCCACTCCCACCCCTGTCCTCCTCCTCTGAAACTCCACCTGTGTCACTAGCAGCCCAGCCTCCTGCAGCCAGGAGGACCTGGTGCCGCCACACCCCGGGCTCAGGTGTGTCAGTCTCAGAGGCGTGTAGAGGAGGCCTTTCTCATCCTCACTTGGCAGAGGAAGAAACTAAGCCCAGAGCCAGACACCCTTGCCCCAAACTCCATGGGCTGCTCAGTAGCAGAGCGGCAACCAAAAGGCAGGTGTCCTGCCTCCTGGGGCTGTTTCTGCAACAGGGCCACTACCTACACGACAGAGGTGGCCAGGGCCAAGGGCAGGAAGGGGAGGGCCTGATGTAACCATGCTGGGGGGGCAGGGGGGCCCTACCTGGAGCCACAGCCGGCCAGCAGTTCCCGTTCCTAAACCTTCAGCTTTCTGGGCTAGCACACTTGTCCCTCCAGAGCCCCACCCACCCTTAGCATCCTAGAGCACTCTGGGAAAGCTTTCGGGAGCCCTGGGGAGATCCTCAGGCTGTGGGAGCCCGGCTGACATCTCTGCAGATCTCACCGAAGACCACTCACAGATGTAAAGCTATAAAGCAGGCCAAGAGCTCCTGGGCCAGGCCCCAGACTAAAGTGGGCCTGCGCCTGTGCCTGCCCCGAGTCCAACACCTTAGGATGCCACTGAATCTGAGATTCCAGGTGTCTGTCAGGATTCCAGATTCCAGGTGTCCCTGGGGCCCCTTGGTGTTTGCTGCCGTTCCCAGACTACATTACAAATGCCTATGACTGCAAGCCTCAGACCGCACCATTCTTTCAGTTCCACAGGGTCCTGAGAAGGAGGGACTGTCCTGGGATGGGGGGGGGGGTGTTCCTGGCCTGACGGGGGACTACTGGCTGCCCATCCCCCACAGGCAGGGCGGGCCCCTACCACAGCCCCATCCTCCAGGCTTGCTTGGCCGCATAAATCACCCTCCCAATAATATTTGTATTGATTATCTAGATTGGAAGCCTCAATCGGCTCCATTGTCTCACTTCCTCTCCCAGGGCTCACAGATGGGGTCCCTTTGCCTCATCTGCGTTTCTAATGCGACACTTAAATGAAGCAGCCTCAGCGGCCAGCAAAGCCCCACGCTGCCCGCTGCCCGGGCTGTTGTGGGGGAGAAGAGGGGGTGGGTTGGAGGAGTGATAAACATATTCCTTGAGAGAGAATGATTCAATCTGGGGCTTGTGGGGCTGGAGAAGCCAAAATGGGCTAGTTCCCGGATGTGCCCAGCGTGGCCCATCGGCACCGTCTGGGCATGGATTAGAAGTGCAGAGCTCAGGTCCCACCCCAGACCCACCAAATGAACATCAGCACCTAACCAGATCCCTTGGTGACTCCCAGGCATGGGAAGCACTGCGGTCGTCCAAGCCTAGTATGGTACAGAAGGGAAACTGAGGCCCAGAGGAGGCAAAGGTCCTGCCTGATGTCACACAGCATGTGAGATCCCCTGAGTCCCTGTCTGGCTCAGGCAGAGGAAATAAGAGGCAAGTAACTTCTGGAGTGAGGGGTGGCCATTTCTGGGCTCCTCTCCCTCCCGAACTCCTACCTCCTGTCTCAGGGCATGGACAGATGGTTCAGACCAGCGTCTGACCCCCCTGTACTCTCCCAGCCTGGAGGGGCCGGTGAGAGCTCCAGGGACTCCCCAGGAGGGCACCTCCCTCCCGCCCCGGCTAGCCAGCTGCCCCTTCCCTGGCAGCAACTGGACAGCAGATCCCAGGGAAAAGCACCACCTGGGTCTGCCCAGCACAGCGGGGAGCACAGAGAGACAGAGGCCCCAGAGAGGCGGCCAGCAGAGGACCTGGGAGAGGTGGGGAGGAGGGACCGGAAAGCTGTGATCCGAGGGAGGGAGGCAGGGAGGACAGAGATTGTGGGGAGGGGAAGACAGAGAGATGGACAGACACAAAGAGGGGAAGGGATGAGTACCAGGAAGGAGGGGAGAAGGACTGAGAAAGAGCGGTCAGGAGAAATGCAGCAGCAGCAAGATGGAGAAAGGAAGAAGGGGAAAGAGGGAGGGAGGGGAATGGAGGCAGTAAAGAGTGATGGCACAGGGAGAAGGGAGGCAGCTGGCCTGGAGACGGGGAGCCCAGGCTGGCCCAGCCCTGCCCGGCCTGGCCTGCCCCAGCCCCCAGTGACGGTGCAGCTGCCACACTTGGGCCCTACCATGAGGTCAGTCCTGCCCTGGGGCTGAGGGAAAATAAATGGTGTCCAAGATAAAAGGTCCAAGAAATTATTTGTCTTGTTGTCATGTCTTGACTGCAACGAGCAGGGGCCGGCGGGCAAGTGGGGCATCAACCCCGAACAGGCTAGGCTGGCAGGACCACAACGCACACCCGGGACCCAAGCCCCAGCCCCGCACATCGGGCCTCCTGCAGCCCCAGCTCCCCTCCCAAGGCCGGGGGAGGGGCGGTTTGGCTGGGACACCTCTCAGAACCTGGCCTCAGGAGGCAAGAACCCATGGGACAGAGTTCCCCGAATCCTCTCAAGGTTCTGGGAAAGTGCAGTCCTATGTGTTTCTCTCACTGTTGAGGGTTTTGTGAGCTGCGCGTGTGGGGTGGCAAGGGATTCAGGGTGTCTCATTCCTCCCAGCCCCCTTGCAGAGGCAGCATGAGGTGAGGAATGGTTCCCAAACATCCCAGAGGAGGGCGGGGCAGTTTCAGGGTCAAGGGCAGGTCAAAGGGACCACAGCCCAAGGTGCTAGGAGCACCATTCCTCACAGGTGTACAAGCTCAAGTTGCAGAGCATATACCTGTGCTCGCACCCACGTCCACCTACAGTCACACCCATGTGCACCCAGCACCGCCAGCAGCATCCAGAAAGCACTACCCAGAGGCTCCCACCTCTCTGAGCGCCTGAACCCAGGGCTGGTGAAGCAAGGCCATGGGGAGCGGCTACCAGCTTTGGGCCATGCCAGGGAAGCCACAGATACATGACCACTAGCCTTCCCCAGCAAAGCAGTGAGTGCTCCCAGCAAGGCTCTCCGGGAGACACACCGCACCTGCAGTTTGCAGACAAGGAAGCCGAGGGCCAGAAAGGCTGTGCCAGGTGCCAAGTTACACAGCCAGGACAGGCCAGACCTGGGATTTGAACTTGTGGCTGGGTGAGGGAAGAGGGGGCTGGTACCTACCATACTTGTCCCCGTCCTCACCGCGGGCACTGATCCTGCGGCCCAGGACTTGGATGTGCTTCCCACTGGTCCGGCTGTACAGCTGGTACAGCCGCAGCTGCTTTCGGCTCACATCGTCCCGGGCCCGCGTCTGGTTCTCCACATGGATGCGGAAGTCCACGTTCTCCTCGGCCGCCAGCACCTGGCCAGGGAGAGCGGCATCAGTGGTCTACCGAGGAAGGACCAGGGGCCCTGCACGCAGCAGCCGCGTTCACACAAGAATGCCAGGGCCCGCTCCTTGCTGGCCCTGGGTCCAGCATAGACCCACACCTGCTCTGTTACCATCCCATTGCACAGATGAGGCAACAATGCTCAGGGAGGGGAAGCATGTCGCCTGAGGGGGCCTAGCCGAGAAGTGGCAAAGCTAAGAAGCAGGGCTCGGTCTACTGACAGCAAAGCTTGCTACCTTTCCACCAAAGCCCCAAATTAAAGCAAGGAGTCCGGAGCCGAGTTTTCTCCTGTGACCTTGAGCACACAGACTCCTTCTCACTGAAAGAGCAGGGCAGAGCCCCTACCCTGATTACAGACCAGGGTGGCCATGAGGGTCAAGTGAGCAGGTGGGGAGTACAGGATCAAAATCGGTATGAAGATGGGAGAAGGGTGTGGGGCATAGAGCTGCTGTTTGGGTGCACAGCAGGGAAGGACAGAGGCCTGGCTAGTCACCCTGGGAAGGAGTGGGCCAGAATCCACTGTCACTCGTCCCTAGGAGTAGATGCCGGGAGGCCTCCTCTGCATGACCAGGGAGTCCTCACGCTCACCCACCCTCAGCTGGTATTTGCCCACATTCCTGGCCTCTCTTGGGGGGGACTTCACTTTGCATCTCCCACCAAAACTCCCCATATCCTCAGAGGTTTAGTTCATGTCTGACCACAGCCTCCAGGAAGCTGCCCCTGGCTATGTCAGTCTCCCATCCTGAACATGACCTCTCACCTGGACAACTTGCAGCCACCTCCTCACCAGCCTTCTGTTCCCACTCTTGCCCCTTGGTCGTCTGGCTTCCACCAAACCCAGTCACTTTTAATAATGCTCCCTCCCCCTCCACACTCTCCAGGGCTTCCCATCACATTTAGACAAAGGTCCCCACCACCGCCTCAAGGTCTTCAGGGTGAGCCCCCTCTTCACCCTTTACAACTCTTCACCCCTGCTTATACTGGCTGCCTTACTATGCCACCGAGCATTCCAAACACAAAACACAACACCAGCCTCAGGGCCTTTGCACTTGCTCTTCCTTTGGCGTCAGTGGTCTTTCCCAGATTTCTACATTCTGGCTCCTTTAGTCACATCCTGGAGAATGGCGTTCTTCGGCTGTTTTTCTGAAGCAGCTCTACCTCTGCCATTCTCCATCTCTCTGTCATGCTGTTTTTTTCCTTCTAACATTGACCAACCTGACATAACATTTACTTGTCTGGCTTTTGTCTGTCTCCCCCCAACATTATATTGGCAGTACCATGAAAGCTCGGGCTGTCTCCTTGTTTGCTGCTATAACCCCAGCATGTAGCATAGAAAAAACTCAAACATTTCTTGAATACATGAATGAATGGACAAAAGAACATTGGAAAGATGTGGAGTCCTGTCATTCCATTTACTATTAAATTAGGTTTTCCTAGGCCCTACTAAATGTATGCCTGTTCCATCCCATCTTCACCATAAAGCTGAACAATTCTTGAAGCCCAGACAGCGTTCTTGGTTTGTTCTGTGTGCCCACGAGGTCCAACATGATGCTGGCAGGAAGGACCCCACTTCCATGAGAGCATGGTCGACTCAGCCTGTCACAGAGCTCTTGGGACCAGGGCTGCCCAAGCATCTGTCTCACCTATCAATCGTGAGCTCCCGAGGGCAGGGACCATGTTCTCCTCATTGCCACATCCCATGCCCAGCCCAGGGTCTCTGTCCTCAAGCTGACATGCACATGTTCCCTGTTGCTAGCCTGGGCCTCCCCAGGCCCTCCAGCTGGACCACATTATTGACCCTCCACTATCATCCTCAGGGTGGAACTATTATCCCACACGGCAGATGAGAAAACTGAGGCCTCAAAGCTAAATTGACAAGGTCCCAGAACAAGCCACGGCAGAATCAGCCCCAGTTGCGGCCCCAGAGCCCCTCTTCCAGCCCCATTTTGCTGGGCCTTGTTTGCCTCAGCTGCACAATCGGGAGGAGGTCCCAGAGCAGAACCCAGGGTGCGCCTTTTCCTCGTTAAGGGTCCCGAGGCGAGTTACCAACCCCTCTGGACTTCAGCTTCCCTAGGCAATGAGAGGAGTGATGATGGCACCCACCCCACGGGCTGCTCCACAGACGAAACACAGAAAGTCTTACAACAGTGCCCAGCACAGAGCGAGTACTCAGGAGGCATAACTAAGAGAGCACATGGGGGCCCTCGCAGAGGTGAGGCTGCGCAGACAGAGCCTGTCTGGAAATACAAGCAGATCACACTCCCATCCCGCGGAAGGGGCACCTCTGCACGCAGTCACAGGCCGGGAAGACGTTATCACCTCTGATGCTGCACCATCGGAGGGCTTATCCCCTCCACTTAACAAACGCAGAAACCCAGGCTCGGAAAAGTTAAGTAGGTTGCCTTGAGCCACACAGCCAGGGGTGCGGGGCCTGGCAGCTGGCCCACCAGGGGTGCACAGCCTTCACTCCCACTATTCTCAATGGCCAGCCCCTGTCACCAATTCACAGCCAGAGCCTGACACCTGGGACCCACCTCTTCTCATATCCTGATGCTCAGGGAGGGAAGAACTCCATACCCCATGAGGTTCACACCTGGTGGGCACATGTCCTGAAGAACCCCCATCCATGGCCCTCGACCTCCCCCAGAATGACTTCCTGAGGGAGCCTTGCCTTTTCCCCTCCCCCCAAGGGCGGGTCTCCAGCCTCCTTCCCTGTCCTCCAACTCTCCTCCTGCTCACAGGAGACCTTATCGACCCGAGGTCAAACCAATCTCCTTACCCTGGGTCCCCAAGGGGAGCTGCCCTGCCCCAGAAGCCAGCCTCCCATTAACGATTTTCTCCCTGGCCCACTGGACAGAGGCAGTGCGGGTGACCCAGGGTCAGCAGGGGCTATCTGGTGGCCCTTCCTCAGGATGTGGAGGGAACAATCCATCTTGCCCAGCTTCCACCATTTAAGCCACATTCTGTGGTCACATCCTTCCCAAGGGAGGTAGCAGGGGTGGCCTCTGACACATAAACAGAGTCCCTCCTTCTGAAAAGGCAGAGACCCCTGGGCTTCCTGGGCAAGACCTCTAGGGAGCCACGGGCCTTTGCACAGGTCAGGTCCTCTGCCCAGGGCACCCTGCCCCCTGTGCCCAGCTGACACCTGCCCTCAGGTATCTCCTTCAGAAGCCCTTTCCTGCCCTATCTCCCCACCTCCATGCCAGCTGGGTTAGAGTCTCTGGACATTACTGTAATGGCTTATCAGCCCCAGACTGCAGCTTGTCCGGCTCATCCTGGGGTCTCCTGTTCTGGCCTCAGGAAGTACCCGATGAATGCTTGCTAAATGATTGTGGCTAGGATGAGAGAAACCTGCAGGCCAAAATCACCCCCGGCACTCACTACCCAGACGAGCAGAGTGCCCCACAGAGGGATGGCAATGGGGCGTCTGAAAGCTCTCAATTGCTGAGCTTCCCTCTGTTCCAGGTGCTCTGCTAAGAAGCCCCCTAGACGTGCTACTTCCTTAGCCACTCCAGGAGGTAGGCGTCCGTCGGAGCTCACTGTGTAGACTGGACCTTTGAGGCACTTCTCCAGGGCTACAGAGCTGGAACATGGGCAAGCAGAACTCTAGCGTCTGCCTCGGGAACATTCTCTCCCTCCTGCTTTCCTGCTCACTGAGGGGCAGGTCACTTGGCCTGAGGGGGGCCTGTCTTCCAGGCCCTCCTAGAAGAGCCGACGCTGCTGTCCACGGGCTCAGCCCCCTCCAGGGGCACAGTCACCTGGGGTGCTGAGAAGCTGCAGTGGGGAAAAAATGAGACTACGCGGCTCTCACAAGGTGAGCAGGTGGGCACAGCCAGGACGTGTCCTTGGGCAGAGGAAGGCACCTTTGTGATTCTGTCTTCCCTCCACTCCAGCTTCTCTTTTGGGTCAACGCAGCTTTCCCCACAGCAGGATGGCCCATAGTGGGGTCCCCCTACAGCTTAAGACCCCCCCCCATTACCCTTCCCTACCAGCCCCTTCCCTACCCTGAGAGCTTGGGCTGTGGTGGAAATATTCACTCCTCAATTCAGGAATGGCACAGAGGCAGCAATGGCCTGACAGTTTCAAATCTTTCCCAAGGTATGTCAAGGTCCCAGGCCCTGGCACAGAAAAGGGTCCAGTGGGACAGAGCCCTCCACCTTTGTCCTGGCCTGCAGTCTCCCGCTGTGGGCACGGCTCTTTAATGCTCAGGATGAGGCCGGTTCTGACTGCCCACTCAGCCTGGCTCCCCACTGCCCACAGCATGGTGCCCACTCGGGGTCCTGCACCATCTGGTCTCTCCTACCTTCTGAGGCTCTGCCCTTAGGCACCTTGGGGGGAACCTTCCATGGGGTGGAAAGAGATTGGGGCTATCTCAATGCCCGCTCCCAGGCATCAACCCAGGTCCCCTCCTACTGGGGTATCATCAGCCACCCCTGCTCTGTCTGGCTATAGATTTCGGTTTCCCCAACACACTCCTGCTCTGAAGACATGTTTGGGGGCTCCTAGTTCTTCCTGGGCTGCACCGCCCCTTCTCCATCAGGCTTCATTTCAGCACACACACCACACACGTTCAAGATAACCGGCACTGACGGACCTCTGGGGTCGTCCGGCTCCAGCCCAAATCTCTGATTTCTCTAACCCTTGGTTTTCTCACTGACAGAATGGGAACTGCATATCATATTTATCTCAGAAAAAAGATGGTATTAGGAACAACAGCCACAATTATTTTCTTTTTCCTTTTTCTTGTGTTTTGTTTTCTGAACGGCCACTGCTTATTGAGCGTAAGAACTGCTTTAGGTCAACTGCCTCATGTAATTCCCAGAGTGGCCCCATGAGTTGGTTTGAGTACAGTCCCCATTTTACAGACGAGGAAACTGAGGCTTGGAGAGGGGGCCTTGTGCATCCAAAGGCACACGCTAGTGAGCAAAGAAATCAAGATTCAAATCCCCGTCAGCCTAGAGCGCAAGCATTC